GGGACAAAGGAATAGTTCAGGATAAATACATGTCACCCGGAGGTGGGCCACCTAAAAGAAGTCAATGGAAGAGCATACTCATGACTGTCTGACCTCGTCCTCCTGGTGGCCAGCTGGAGAAGTGCAGAAAGTATCTCTCAGCACAAGGCCAGTGTTTTCATGCATAAATTAAAAGTACTGTTATTGTTTTTAAAGTACATGCTGTGGTCTTCAGGGGTGTCCTTCTGACCTAGAAGCAACTGTAGCAAAACCACAATCACTCAGAGGGTAGAGGTACTCCAGAGCTGTGGGAGACACAGAGGATTTTTTTTCATTTCTCATTTTAGATGTTTGAGACATCTCCAACATCTTGCTGTGAAAGACACTTTGCAATAGTCAACATTTGTGAGAAATAAATGATGTATTTGAAAATATTAAAAACAAAGCAGAAAGGGTTTTATATTTTTTATTCATATAGATGGCAATTACTTTTATACATAAAGCATGTTGAGTGCTCATGGCGTCACAATACTTCTTGGAGTACGAGCATGACACTATAAGAAAGGTCAGAAGTGCCACTGTTACCCTTTAAGCAACTGCACTTAGGATCAGGCATGTTAGTATAGAATAGCAGCCCTCCCAGACTTTGCCCATGCAGCCACAGCTGCTGCCCAGCAGCCTCTACCCCAGACCGGGCCCCAGGGGGCTGTGCCACCTCATTAGGACACTGCTCTTTCTTTCTGTAGAGTCTGACTCCAGCTGCTTCTCTGCCCCAGGAAATATAGACACGTTAATCAAATCTTTTTATCTCTCCCTCAGCCCTCCTTTTCTTGCTCCTTCCTGTCCTTCTTACCTATGAATCATAATTGTCTACATTTGTGGGTCACAGTGCAGGTGGCCTGACATACTTGTGTAGTGCGGCATGATCAAACTGATGGACACATCACTGCATGTGTGTATCTTTTGTGGTGACACGCTTTGAATTTCATCTACCAGTCTACTCATCAGGGGATAACCAGTCCCATTTCACCGCATCTTCTCCAAATGCTTTCCCTCTTTTTTAAACAGGTGTGAGGTGACATGTTTATTAGGCATCTTTCCTTTAGGATTAGTGATGCTAAGATTTTTTTTTTCTTAGCTTTCCACTTACATGTGATGTGCCACCCAAATGTCTTATCCTGAGAAACATCCGTGTAAGACCTCCCCCCCCCCCACACACACACTTCCTTAAACGGGTCATCTGCTTTCTCGCCACTGAGCTGTGTTCTTCATGTACTTTGGATATTAGCTCTTTATTAGGTGGACAGATTGAAGTGATTTTTTCCACTCTGCAGCTTGTCTTATAACTTTAATAGTTTCCTTTACTTTGCAAAAGTTTTTAGTTTGGAACCTCAAAGCCCTTCATTTCTTTTATGAACACTTTTATTTTTTGGTCCAGAGAGATATTGCTGATTTTTACATGTTGTTTATGTATCCTGTCACTTTACTGGGTTTATCACTTCCAGCTGGGTTTTGGTGGAGCCGGCAGGGTTTTCCATGTGTCCTCAAATCATGTGGCCCACAAATAGACATGTGCTTGTTTTCCTCTCCGGTTACCATACCTTTTCACTTCCTTGCCTAGTGGCTCCAGCGATGGCATCCACTAGAATGTTGGAAAGCACTGGGGTAGATATCTCTGACCCTGACCTGTGAGAAAAGGCTTATAACTCACCATGTTAATTGTGGGTTTGTCATCTGTGGTCTTTATTGTGTTGAGGTGTATTCCCCACACCTAATATACTGAGGTTTTATTGAGAAAAGAAGTTGAATTTTGTCAAATGTATTTTTCTATCTGACATGAGTGCATGGCTTTTGTCCTCCAAATTGTCAATGTGATGCATCTTATTTATTGATGTGTATATGCTCAAAAGTCCCTGTATCACAGGGATAAAACTTATTCTTTTAGTTAAATTTTTATTTTTTCTATATTTGTTTTGTGCATATACATGTACATATGGCATGTGTGCTGTGGAGTGAATGTGAAGGTCAGGGAATGGCTTGGTGGTGTGGGGGAATTGTCTGTATTCTGTCAATTATGTTTTAAATAAACGCTGATTGGCCAGGCAAAAAGTATAGGCTGGAAAATCAGACAGGAAGTAGAAATGATGCAATGAGAACAGGAGAATTCTGGGAAGGAGGAAGTTGATTCCTCCCACTCCTCCCCAGACCACCGAAGAAACAGCATGTAATCTACCCAGCTGAAAAAGGTACTAAGCCACATGGCTAACATAGATCAGAACAATGGGTTAATATAAGTGATAAGAGCTAATAAGAAGCCTGAGCTAATGGGCCAATCAGTTTATAATCTTATGGAGTCCTCTGTGTGATTTTCTTTGAGGCTTGCTGGCTGTGGGGTATAGGGTGGGACATAAACCCCAACAAGCAGGCCCCACATGTTACAGCTTGGGATGATTGGTTCTTTCCTTCCATCACGTGGGTTCTGGGAGTTGAATGCAGGCCAACAGCCTCAGTGGTAAGCACCATTACCTACTGAGCCATCTCACTGGCCTGTAAATTCTATTCTTTTAAAAACACTTATTTATTTACTTATTTATTGTGTATGAATGTTTTGCCTGCCAGTATGTTTGTGTCCTTATATTCAGAGACCAGAAGAAGGTGTTAGATCCCCTGAAACTGCAGTGACAGGCTATTGTGAGCTTCCCTGTGGGTTCTGGGAATTCAACCCAGGTTTTTTGGAAAAGCAGATATTGCTTTTTGATGTAGGTGGGTCTTTTGTCTATGTGTTACTTTCATTGGTTAATAAAGAAACTGCCTTGGCCGTTTGAGAGGCCAGCCCTTAGGTGGGTGGAGTAGACAGAACAGAATTCTGGGAGAAAGAAAGCATAGTCAGGCAGACGCCATGAAGCTCTGGCCCAAGATGGACGTAGATTAGAATCTTCCTGGTAAGCCACCACCTCGTGGTACTACACACATTAATAGAAATGGGTTAATCAAGAGGTGAGAGTTAGCCAGTAAGAGGCTAGAGCTAATGGTCCAGGCAGTGTTTAAATGAATACAATTTGTGTGTTGTTATTTTGGGTGTAAAGCTAGCCGTGCGGGATCTGGGCGGGACGAAAAGCAGGCCTGCTTGCCTCTTCACTACAGCTTTTAATTGTTGAGCCATCTCTTTAGCCCCATAATTCTATTCTTTACAGAGCAGTTACATAAACAAAATCAAAGTCCAATTTGAGTGTGACCTCAAGCTCTCGGTACTCTTGCTTCGATCTCCAAAGTGTTGGGATTAAAGGCATGTACCACTATCCCTAGATGCCTAATGCATTCTTGAATTCACTTTACTACTATTTTGGTGGAGAATTTTGCATCTGTATTGATCAATGATATTGACCCTTTTTCTTCTTCTTGTAATGTCTTGTCTGGTTTTGTTGCCAGTGTACCCTTATTCCTGTAAAATGAGTTTGGAAGCATTTCTTTTACTTTTGTGTTTTTAAAAGAGCCTGAAAAAATGCTATTAATCTCTCAAATTAATTTAGGGGTGAGGCCACCTGGTCCTGGATGTCCTTTCATCACTGGCTTAATTTTCTTGCTGGTTATTTGCCTTTTTTTTCATATTTCTTCATGATTTAGTCAAGGAGGAAAGTATGTTTCTATGGATTGTATCCATTTTTTTTCCAGATTCTCCCACCTGTTGATATGCAATTATTTGTAGTACTCTCTTAAAAATCCTTAAAAGCATAATATTATCTTTAATATTTTCTTTCGGTGCTGATCTTATTTTAGCCTATTATTTCCTTACTCTTTCTTTCCTCCTAGTTTGTCTAGCTGAATGGTTAGGTCTAACTTTTCATCCTTTAAAAAAATCCAAGTCTTAGTTTGTTGATTTTTCTGTTTTCTGGCATGAGTCTCACTCATTTCTGTTCCGACATTTAGTTCTTTTCTCATGAACACATTAAGTTTAATCCTTTTTCCAGCTTCTTTAGGCGTGACATAGATTTTTGTTGTTTTTGTGTCAGGGTCAAATTTACCATTCTTCTGCCTCAGTGCCTTCCCTCCCCCCCCCCCCCACATCCTAGGTTTATAGGCATAACACAACTTTATAAACAAGCTTTACATTTTTGGGGTGGGTATTTTTTCCTCTGTTCTTACAGAAAGATTTATCATAAGTTTCTATCATAAGATGCTATTGCTATATTGTATAGGTTTTGTTTTGTTTCTGAAAAGATGTATTTTTATTTCTTCTGAGATATATCAGTAATTTTTGGAGGCTGCTGTTGAATTTCTCATCTTTCTGAGTTTCAAAGGTTCTCCCTAGAGAATCTCTGTGTACAGCAAGATGTCCTTGGAATGGTAGTCATTTCCTGATCTGTTGGCCTCGTCATTCCTGGATAATAATTGTTTCAGAATTTTGCTGATGTGCAAAAACAACTGAGGCAGATGGGTTTGAGAGCAGGAGGCTCGGGCATGGACTGAGTGCCTGGCTGTGTCACACTGATTGACAGAACAGTGGGACACATGAAAGAACTAGCTAACATAACTACATACCAACCCAGGAGGAGAGAGAAGAAATCAGTGACTTAGAAAGCCTTTGAGGACCTTCTCCACAGAATGACCCCACGATCCCCAGCTGAACTCCACCTCTGGAAGCTTCCATCATATCTCAGTAGTACATTGTGGGGACAAAACCTAGAGAACACTTATCGTATTCAAGTCCCAGCCCTTAGAAAACCCAGTTTTCAAAACATCTTTTCTAGCAATTCAAAGGTATATATTGCTTATTGTTGTGATTATTTATTTACTCTATGTTGGAGAGTTTCTTTCCTTAATTTACTAATTTTCTTATCAGTGAAATGAGTTAATTTGAGCTATCTGTCAGTGTGGGTCAGATTTTTGCACTGTGTTTCTTAGCTAGGGAGCAAGAGATAGTGCCTGGAGCATTAGGAAAATAATAATAATAAAAAAACTAGTAATTGCCAAGCTCTCCCCCAGGTTCACACATAGTTTAGATAGACAGCTTAAGAAGAGCATATTCTAAATGTTCTATTTTATTCACTGTTTATTTTTGAAGTTTCTTCTTTCAAGCATCGTTTAAAAGAGAAAAGGCACCACTTCCAAGAGTTTCAGGAAATGATTCAAGAGGGACATAAAAACATAGTTCCCATTTTTAAGTGTTAGTGGAACTGAAAGAGGCCTGATTCATGCCCCCTGAAGACCAATAAGATTCTGAAAGTGGCCTATGTAGAAGGCCAGAGCAACACTGTCTTGCTTTCTAAATAATGCCTAGAGTCCTGCCAAATGATCTTGAACAGGAAAGGGAGAGGTATGAGAATCTTCATTTTTTAAATAGCAAAATTCCTGCCCACTTACTGTCAGTGACTATCAGAAATTCTAGAGAAAACTGCGATCAGATCAACACAAGGAAAAGAGCAATGAGCAGAATAGGAACAGAGAGGAGCCTGAGCAAATAGAGGTATAAGCAAGGCTTCCGAACACCACCAACGACACGTGTGTTCATAGGCTTCAGTGACCGGTCCCACTGGGTTAGGATGGCGTTTCTGGCTCCTGACCACTTCCCTGGACCTTCCAACCGGAACTGGTAGGGGCTGCAAGGGCCAAAGAACACTTCTATGGCCAACCTGGGATCCTTCAGAAACAGCTGTCGGATATTGGGCTTTGCTCCAATAAAGGAGGCCAGTTCATCCATGTAAACAATGTAATCCGTCTGAATGGTCTGAGTGCTGCCAAACCTAGAGATGGAGAGAAGGTACTCCTGTGATACCTGGGCTTTGCGGAAGCAAGAAGAGAGAAAGCAGCTCACATCTTCCTATCGGGGCAGTCGTTATTCTCTTGTGTTATCGAGGGGATTATTTCATATCGCATTTGGAAATAAATCCCCCAACACTACCCAGCAGTGGAGAACGATAGTTGTCTCTTGCTCAAGCCAAGTTCCTCATTCACAGCCCCCAAGCTAATTAGTGGCAGACCAGGGATGGAGTCCAGTTTTCCATGCTAATTCTCCTGCTGCTGGTCCTTTTCATTTAAAGCGTCCACTTGAAGGATCATCCACCCTGTGAAGGGTTTCTGAGAACAGACCTCTGCTTTCATTTGTTTCCCCAATTATTTCGAGTCCATCACTTTCGTATGTCCTTTCTGGGATGGACTGCTAAAGGCAGGGATAAAGGGGACACTACAATGAGGTTCCTCACTCTTACTGCTGACTCTGCACCTTGCACCTAGTAGGACCCAGTGCAAGGGCAGGCGAGAAGGTCTCCGCTCTTAGATGGAAGAATGGGGCTCATTAAGTCTGTTAACTTCATGAAGGATCATTTAAGACAAAACCAGTTTCAATTATTGAGAAATTCTGATTTTTTTCTAGGCAAATCCTGGATCTACATTATAATAGATCTACCGCATAAAACTCTTACCATTTGAGCTTTTTACCCATTTTCTCATCAATATCATCCATCATGTCTTTAACAGAAGGCAACATGCAAGTTCCTGAAAAAGAAGGAAGGGCAGAATAGTTTAATGAATCCAGAGTAGGAGTAGCCCAGTGTTTTTCGGTCTCAGTGAATTGTGAGTCACATTGTATTTTCAGTTTTAGAAGTGTTTATTAGTGTGTGTGTGTGCGTGTGTGTGTGTGTGTGTGTGTGTGTGTGTGTGTGTGTGTGGTCACAGAACAACTTGTTGGAATTAGTTTTATCTTTCTACCATGTGATCTCAGAATGGAGCCCAGGTTTGTCAGTCCTGCCATCAAGTGCCTGTGTTAACCATCTCTCCAGTTCCCCTTTTTGTTTTACTTTTTTCCTTATTTTTATTTTCTCAGAGCCAAAGTTAAAACTCTTGTCCTCGCAGAGAGTTAGTGACCACCCTTTAAGTCCAGTCTCCCTAAGGTGGGATCTGAGGGCCGAGAGAGTGCTGCTGCTTTGCTGGAGTCACTTAGCCCTCTGAAGCCACATCCAATCTCTGCCTGAGCAGGGAGAGACAAAGGCAGAGGCAGAGAGGCCACTGCTGCGTAGGAACATGCGGATATGGTGGAAGTCTGGTGGCTCAGGGTATACAGGGGCATGCATACTCATGTAAGCTTCCACAGGAAAGGGAGACTGAGCTCCAGCGAGCCAGGGTAGTACTAGAAGCCATAGTTGTGGCTTCAAAAGGAGCCCACTTTGCTAAAACACCCTCATCGAGAAGTTTCATAAATTAAGGTTCAAGTAAACGTTGCTCAATATACTTCGACATCTCTGTTTTTTCTTTAATTAAGGCTCCACTTGTTTCTATGGACCACGGCTGTCCACAGCTATTCCCCTTCATTCAGATGTCACCATGACTCTGATCTCAGCTCTGCTACCGACGCTGGCTGACTTCCTTACCTAATCAAGTCTGTTGTTTCCTTTTCCTTTTGAAAATATGAATAACATGTACTCTTGTACCTTAGAAATTAAACGTCTCTTACATCTTGTACTTCCCATCTCTAATCAAGCACTGCTTGTCCTTAACAAACACAGTTCAGAGAAGAACTCAGCCCAGAAGACCCATTGCCTTCCCAGAGTGTGTGCTATTCCTGGCTGCAGGTATCTGTGTCTAGCTGAAGATTTGCCTGGAACTTTCTTTCCCCATCACCCTTTCAAGTAATGTAATTCTATCCCATTTGAAATCACACTTTCATAATATTGACATGCAGCAAGGGCCAAGAACTCTTGGAGTTCTTGTCTATTGAATGATCTCAGGTAATTGTCAGCTCCCAGAAATCATAAGTAGCAAAAATCTCCAATAATATTGTACTATTGCCCATGATAACCCAGTGACACATATTTCAAATTGCTCAAGGAGTACCCTGCCAATGGGAATGGAGTTACAGATTCTCAAAGTTGGACGGGTCTCTTAATTAGGATTTTTGCTCTGATTCTGAAAGAATTCTCATTAGCATCCATCGGGGAACTGTTTGGCCCACTTACCCCTTATTACTTGTGCAGCCCAGCGTGCCTGCAGGTCAGTTGTGGGGATGGCAGCACCAAGGGACTGGACAAGGCCAATCACTGCCATGGTTGGTTTCTCCAGCTGAGGAGGGAAGATGCCCTTGTACAAGGTGACCTCATTGTTTCTGCTTTTGATGATGGAGTCATCCAAGAAGGGATAGGCATAACCGTAGCCTGTTGCGAAGATGACACAGTCAATGTCCTCAAACACGGTCCCATCCTCAAACACAGCGGAGGTCTCTGTGAACTCCTTCACGTTAGGCTTGATGGACACGGTGCCACACAGGATGCGTGCTGGGAGCTCATCATTGAACACGGGTTCTTTCCTGAGAGTTCTATATGGATGGAAGAGACTGGTCATTGTAACAGTAACATGTCCCCCTTGTCTTAGTCTCTGTACAGATGGTGAAGGAAGGAACAAGATGATCAAAAGATTTCCCTGAGCTATGGAATATCGCTAATGCATGAGAAGAATAAAACTGATGTGAGGCCATATAGGAGGTAAGAGAAGTTACTAGCAAAGTCTATACCAAGAAAAATTCTAATGTAAGGCACCTGGTATCTAAAGCCTTATTGCTTCCTATGAGAAGGTTCAGTCCTTTTAAATTCCCAATACCTCACTTTTCTCTTCTGAAATGACACTGTCCTCTATCTTAGGCCACAGTGAGATCTGAATAGTATGAGAAATTTTGTAGTCTGTAGTACAGATAAAGCGCTAACAGTGTTAATGTCTATTCTTATATTCCAAACTGGCCATAGTAAGATAGACTTGGGAAGGTAAAGGAATACAGAAGAGGGCTACCCCTGACATAGAAAAAGACAGGATCTCCTGAGAAAATTGGGAGCATGGGGACCATGGGAGAGGGTAGAAGGGGAGGGGAAGAGGAAGGGAGGGGAGCAGAGAAAAATATATAACTCAATGAAAACAATAAAAAGGGGGGAGAGGGCTATCCCTGGGCTTTCACTGAGTAGTGAAATGTGAGCCATACTAAGTAATTGCACCACTTAGGCCAAAGAAGGTGCACCTGGGAACTTATGTAAGGGGAGAGCAGTTTGAAGCACTGGCACCTGGAGATCTGAAGCGATCCATTGTTTTGATCAGGAAAATCTTCATGCATGCAGAGTATTCTGAAGTTGCCAATAAATTCGAATATCATGTAAGGAAAGGACTTTGTTATGTATGACCAAGACAGTCAGGGGAAGAAGCTGAAGGAGGAGAAACTGAGACAATGAGATTAGGTGGAGCTCTGGTTGGAAAAGCGCTAGACTCAACTACACTTCTTCTCTGCCACTTGTATTAAACTCATTGTCACCCACCACTAAGCACCCCAGTCTCACTGAGACGATGTTTGCCAAGGCTGTCAGAATGAAGCTGATGGGTCCAAGGGCCCCGCTCAGTTATTTTCCTGAACTTACTAGTACCTCTTGGCTTAGATGATTGTGTCCTCCCTCCTGAAGCACTGTCTGTCTTCAGAGATCACTTTTCCTTAGTGCCTTTCCTAACATGGCTACTCTCTCCTGGTGGTCCCTATTGTTAATCCCCACACGATTGCTGACAGTCTTTTTGCCCTCTGTGTCCACACTCATCCTTCAAGAAATGGCATGAAATTTAACTTAGTGTTTATGCCTAATTCTAGGACCCTACTGAAAACTGTCTTTGCGGCATTTCTATCCCCTTTGCCCGCACTGTATTCTCCACAACATACATCACCATATAGCTTTCTACTAAGCATTTGTTGTTATGTTTATGGCTACTAAGAGTGTACTCTAGTAGAACAGAATTCTGCTTGTTCTAGACCCTGATGTATGCCCAAACACTTAACTTGGTACCTGACGCAGTAAACACTTCATTTATATTTGTTGAGTTAATGAATATGTAAGAAGAAATTTGGGATTTGTAGCCAATGTTGAAGTTGTTTTTTATGTAGTGGGCTTGAGGGAGTTGTAGAAAAATACTAAGGAGGAAGCAGGGAGTGCCAGAATTGTGTAGCAGTGAGAGCATTCTTTGCAGGGCTTGAGAAAAAGAGTACAACACAGGAAAGTGATTTTGTTAGCCTCCACTTTGCCACTAAGTGTGAGGTCACAGAGGAAGAGGATAAAGACCTGGAATCAGCAGATGTGGATTTATACTGAAGGTTGCTTCTACTTCCTGGATGTGGGACTTTGGTAACATTAACAATTCTATCACACTTCAGTTTTCTCCTCTGAAAACCAGAACAAACACAGCTCTCTTAGTTGTGAGGGTACATGTCATAATATATGCCAGAGCCTAAAGCAGAGAATGGGGAAGACTCTGGTAATGTATGAAGTGCTTAAAACATGTTTATTTTTTATTCCTGTTGCTATGGGATCTAACTGCTTCAGTATTACCTAACGCTCTAGACGTACAAATCTGGTAAGAAGGCTGTGTGGAAACCCTTCCCAATATTTGCAGTTCTTTATCCTTTGATACGTGTGATGTGATTACTTCATGAATGTCTTTTGATTTGTTTTGAGATTACAACACACACCAAGCGTTGTTGACATTGAAGTAAACGTTAGCAAGCACATCACGTTTTAGTCCACGTTACCCATTTAAAGGCATCAAGCCGTAGTTCTCATGCTTGAACCTTGCGTTCATCTGTCTCATGTACCACCAGTCAGAGATGGCTGTGGGCAAGTTGTTCTTGAGGAAAGTTTGAAATCGAGTGATCACCAACATGTCCCAGGGGTAGCCGTCATCCCAGACTCTGCTCATCACCCAGGATCCACTTCTGGAACTGATGATGACCTGAAGAATACAAACGTTAAATGCAGCAAGTGTAGGGCGTATTGTAAGATGCCCTCTGCAGCTCCCTGTAGAAATGGGCTTACTACTCTTGCTCTTGGGTTTTTGTTTGTTTTGTTTTTGTTTTCTTTTTTGCCAGGAGGAAGTAAAAAACCCTCAGCTGTCAGTCCTCCTAAAGAATTGTTTTGATTAAAAAAGTAGGCTCCCCTCAGATCTTACTTCCTTTCTTGGTTTTCCAAATCCACTGATTGCCCACGTAGGTTCAGACCCTCATTTCAAATTAGTTCACATCCATAGGCCCTCAAAACTTGAGCATAAGGCAAAAGAAAGCCCGCTTTCCTTCCTGGGAGATGCGACTTCAAGGACACTTTGAGACAAGCTTCCTCAGGTCTAATCAGATTCCCTGCTGTTGCTGACAGGAACCAACTTACTTCAATCACGTCTTCCTAGCACAGCTGACCACCGGTATGACTCCCAGGGCTTATCCAACTACTGATAGCTACAAAGAAGTAACTACTATCCCCAAATAGGTATTGGTGTAAAATGAGGCAAGCAACTTGTGATCTGGACTATAGGCAGAAATCCTGGCCCTCCTACCTCTAAATGATGTGACATAGGCAAGATTGCTTTAACTTCGTTAATCTTGTTTCCTTATATAAACCAGAAAGAAGCAGCATCTAAACTACTTCAGATTTGTATGAGGGTCAATTGAGCATGATAACCTGTGTCATATGACTGACATCATCTCGGATATAAAGTGATTATTAAATGTCTCTTTTTTTCCTCTTCTGCTAATTTGTAACACAGTGGATTTTTAGGTTTCTTCTATTTATTTCTTCTTTTCTTGCTTTTTTTTTTTAAATTATGCAATGCCATTATAAGAGAAGCAAATTAAAGAAGAAATGTACCTTGAAAGCTTCAGAAATTGGGTTTCTTTCTTCTAATTCATTACATATGCAGACATAAATATCTTATCACCCTGGTTCATCATATTGCTTGTAGTTCAATAACCTTACGTGGTATACTTTTACTTATGAAGAATTCACATTTTTTCAGCTCTTTGTTGAAGTGTTTGAAAAGATCACTTACTGGGGCTCCTACCTTTCTTTCCTACCTCAGTTCCAGTGGCTACTCTGTGCTCTTGGAATCTGAAGCTCCAAATTTTGCTTCTCTTAAGTCATCTCCCACTCAGATCTTAGGTTCCTTTGAGCTTTTTAAGAAGTTGCTAATGTGTTTGTCTTCAATTGCCTTTTTTCACCAAGAGGAAAAATAAGATTCAATGACCTTTTACCTACGGTTGAAGGCACTTACTTAGGTGGGAGTATTAAAGTACCTTGATGCACCATTTCTGTTGTCGCTATTAAGAACCTTCTTTTCAGCTGTCAAACACACAGTACTGATTCCTGTCCTCATGTTTGCTGTCATCCCCCATTCTAAGAACAGCTTATGTCTATATTTTAGGTTTATATTCGACTATATGGTTTATATTTCTCTTTCAAGAATGGGTTCAGGACCATCTCCTTTGTGATGCCTTGGATTCTACAGTCTTTTGGGCATTTAGCGACAGAGTCATGTTTTTTCCTTCATTCCAGTGTTAACTCTTACACCATTGTCATGCATCCTGCTTATCTCTTGAGACTGTTTGTGCATGTGTCTGTGTGTGCAAGTACGTGCATGTGTCTGTGTGTGCGAGTACGTGCATATGTGTGTGTGCGAGTATGTGCATGTATCTGTGTGTGCGAGTATGTGCATGTGTGTGTGCGAGTATGTGCGTGTGTCTGTGTGTGCAAGTATGTGCATGTGTCTGTGTGTGCGAGTATGTGCATGTGTCTGTGTGTGCGAGTATGTGCATGTGTCTGTGTGTGCAAGTACGTGCATGTGTCTGTGTGTGCGAGTATGTGCATGTGTCTGTGTGTGCGAGTATGTGCATGTGTCTGTGTGTGCGAGTACGTGCATGTGTCTGTGTGTGCAAGTACGTGCATGTGTCTGTGTGTGCAAGTACGTGCATGTGTCTGTGTGTGCGAGTATGTGCATGTGTCTGTGTGTGCAAGTACGTGCATGTGTCTGTGTGTGCGAGTATGTGCATGTGTCTGTGTGTGCGAGTATGTGCATGTGTCTGTGTGTGCGCACACACGTGCATGTGTCTGTGTGTGCAAGTACGTGCATGTGTCTGTGTGTGCGAGTATGTGCATGTGTCTGTGTGTGCGAGTATGTGCATGTGTCTGTGTGTGCGAGTATGTGCATGTGTCTGTGTGTGCGAGTATGTGCATGTGTCTGTGTGTGCAAGTACGTGCATGTGTCTGTGTGTGCGCACACACGTGCATGTGTCTGTGTGTGCGCACACACGTGCATGTGCCTTTTGGCTAGACTTTATGACCTTTTGAGAAGGAAGGCCACATGGTTAATTTCTTTGCTTGCCCCTGGTTGTCAAGTGCAGTGTGTGGAACACAGGCATAGGAATAATTTTTATGACATTTGTCCTGACGCGATCTTTTGCATCTTGACTCTAATACTGTGGAGTAAAGCTGGAAGTATAATGGCGATGCTCAGGGGCCTATCAGGAACCAATATTGGGGGTCTATGACATCTGGAAATAAGATCCCTGCCTTTCGGCTTCTGGAAAAGCAACCTTTAATGCTTCTTTCGAAGGGAGATGACATTTGTTTAAATCATACCCTACATGGACCTTCATCCTTCCCTCTCCATCTTCCTTTCGGTCTCCCTTCACACTCTTCTTTCCAGACCCACTGAGATGTAGCCAAGAGGCCTCTCATCAGTTTTTGAGATACCTCAAGACCCTCTGCTTGAAGATCTCTTTTGAGTCTGTGCCTTTCTCAACTTCTGGTTCTCTGTTTGTGTGTCGTCATCTCCAGGGGTCTTTCCTGCCTCATGTGGAGTATGTCACCCTTATTAATGACATGAACCATGTGCTTTGCTTTCTTAGTACTTTCCACAATGATAATTTATGCATTAGAGCATTTACATAATTAGTATTGTGGCGTTCAAGAGTGAGGGGTACGTTTGCTTTGTTCAACATTCTTTCTCCAATTCCTACGCCAGTGCCTGGAAGAAGAATTAGCCACAGACTGAAGGCATGCATGAATGAGTGACTATGCAGCTCTCTGTGAATGTGGACTGGGTCGGGTTTTCACTCTGTAACAATCTCATTTCTAAACTAGTTCTGTTCTTATCTGCTTTATTGATGTGGAGTGCAGAAACCCAGAAGCATAAAACAACTTCTCTAGGAGTCTCGGTCATAGCTTTAACCTTGAGTTCACTCTAGTTTCAAAGGAATCCATCAGACACACACAAGGTATCAAGTCCTTACTGGGTCAGAAACATCACTAGTGACACCTATACAGCTATTTCAAATCCTACTTGTTTGTTACCCAGGAAGCTGAGGTATAGGAAATATTACTTGGCTAAAACATGCCATTCGATTCCATAGCAGTTTTCAAAGGAGAAAATACCAGTTTTATCCCTTTAAGATTGTCTGTGGCGTGTGTGAGATATGGTACCTGTTGAGCTACGTGGCTGACTTCTGCAGCAATGTCACAGCCCGAGTTCCCCAGACCGATCACCAGGACTCGCTTTCCCTTCCACATCCCTGGTTCCTTATAGTCCCTGCTGTGGAAGCATTTGCCTTTAAAACGGTTTAAACCTGAGTAAAAAGAAAGAAGCATGTGAATCAACTTGATTTCTATTAAAAATCAAACAACTCTCGTGGTCACAAAATAAGAAAATTTAGTAACCCTAATATACTATAGAAAACAGAAATATACTTTAATTGGCCTGTTTGTAGTTTAATTAAAAAGATACTACTGCAGTTTGGGGAAGACTTGAATATATTCCCCAGAGGTACATGTGCCGCCAGCTTGGCGACAACTGGGAAGTAAAGCTGGTCATTGAGGACATTGCCCTTGGCAAGGATGGTGGAGTGAGTTGTTACAGGAGAGCATTAACTGTCTGATTCCAACAAGAGCAAGCCTGGCTGTTGAATCCCTCCAGATGCCCTTCTCACCTTGTAACCATTAGGTGCTGGACATGCCTAGTTCTTTTTCTAACTCTTAATCATACTGTGATGCAATGCAGTGGGGTTGAGGTGGTGGTGGGCGGAGCTCGCTAGGTTGCTAGCACCATGCTGCTTACCTTTCCAGTGCCTGTCGTTATGAGCCAAGTCTCTTTCCTTTACAATGTCCTTTACTTTAATTGCCAGGTTTTCTGTTACTCGCATTAGAAAGCAGACTAAAATAAACCTCACCGATACATTTATTCCTGATAGATGTGTAGGTGGCTTCCTCACCTTCAGCCGCCTTACCTGGAAAGGAGTCTTTTGGTAGATGGGGGTACACATGATGCCCAGAACAAATCATTATAGCATCAAAGACAGCTGTTTCTTTTTTACCATTCTTTTCAGTGGTAACTTCCCATTTGCCAGTAGTTGAGAAATCAGGACTTTTATTTATACTGGTTACAAATGTCTAAAGAATATAGAAAGAAAGCCTTCTTTAATATGCTAATGGTAGATTGGTCTTAAAATCATTTTATTAATAAGACACATCTTACAGAATTCAAAAGTCCCTCAGGAGAAATGAAAACATTAGATTGTATATGTATGTATGTGTAATACTTGTGTGTGTGTATTCTTTGCCTTGTTTTAAAATACTTTAATTGTTTATTACAAATGGTTAAGCTTATGGGCCCACAAAAGTATGGTTTTCAAATGCCTTCCACAAAAAGTTTAACTAATATCAAGTTCTTATATTTTTTCATTACATTACATTTCTTTTGGACACAAAGATTACTTAGAGAATGAGGTTTTAAATTTACAAACCCATGGGTATTTTGTATCTATTATTTTTGTTGCTGATTTCTAAGTTGGTGCCATTTTGATGTAAGAACTGTATGTGATCATGTTTTACGTATTTCTGACAGATTCATAAGAGAAAAATCATATTCACAAGTTTACAATTAGCGAACTCAAGCAGTTAAAAATGTTGGTTAAAGAAAGGGATCCTCCGGGAAAAAGTGGGACTTGAACAACAGCCACGGACTTCCTCATTGCTATGTCTGACATTGCTTTGCTGACAGCATCTTACCTCAAACTGTATGTATTTTAGAAGGTTCTTTTCTTTGGCAAATGAAATGATATATTCTTGGAGCTTGCTGTTATGCATGAAGTTGGGGAAGTCATCAGGATAGGGGAAGTCTGGGAAACACATCATTTCTTTGGAAGAGTTGGTAAAGACTGATCGGTAGATACTAGCCCTGCCCTCTTCTGCATGGTCCTGTGAACAGAATTTTCAGGCAGAAGGAGATCGGTAAGTGAGTATACAGCTCTTGTTCATATTCAGTTCCAAGTCATTACAGTAAGTTGAACTGGCCTTTACCCACTAGGGACTCTGATGATGTCTGTGACCCCTCTGGCTCTTATAATCCTTTCTCCCTCTCTTCTGCAGGATTCTTCAGGATTCCCCAGATTAATGTAGAAGTTACAAAGCTATGCTAGAATTGTAGAGGAGGTACCAAGTGATGATGAGAGACGACGGGGAAGTTGAAGAAAAAGAGATAGCAAAGAATAGATCAGGATGTTGTGGTCTGGTTCATCTGTAGCCATACACTGGCTTTCTCTCTCTCTCTCTCTCTCTCTCTCTCTCTCACACACACACACACACACACACCACCACCACCACCACCACCACCAACAACAACAACAACAATAACAACAACACATGCCCCAAACAAACAAACAAACAAACAAAATCTCACAGCAATTCAGAGTTAGATTTAACTCCTGTAGAATTTGCTTTAGGTGGCCTGGAGTTTCAAATGGCTTTCAAGTAACACTATAGAATAAAACTGGTGGAGGGCAATGACCAACAAAGTAGTTCCTATGGAAGATCACACTATAGGGCCTGCTTGTTGCAGCTGCTGCCTCAATCAATGTATGTGTGAAGTGAATTAAAGACACTAAATAAAAAGTAAATGTGTTTGCTTATGGGTAGGTTGTACCTGTGTGACCATGTGCGTGTGTCCCCCATCATCTGTGTGTGTGTGTGTGTGTGTGCATGTGTGTCTGTGTAGGTCAGTCTCAGGTGTGTGTTCCTTAAGAGCCGTCCACTCACTGAGAAGGCTAGGCTGGCTAGTAAGAAGCTCCAGGAATCCTTCTGCTTCCGCCTCTGCCTCCCAGTGCTGGGATTACAAGCTTGGCTTCTGAGACTTGAACTCAGATGCTCACACTTACAAAGTAAGCAAGCATTTTAATGACTGAGCTAGATTCTCAGTCCAAGGCATTACAGGAAACCGAAAATTACTGTAAGGACCATGGAAAGAGAGCTGAAACTTTACTTGGGTCTCTGAAAACACCAAGGTCGCGTGAGTGCTCTCTAGGTCTAGATGAATTATCTGTCATTCTCAGTAGCTCCATAAACAATACATCAGTAAGATGTCTGGATTTGACCTTAAGTTTTGTGATGAAAGACTAAATTACAGGTCCTTATGGATAGCTGTTGAGTTTGTAGAGAAACATGCAGACGATTAGAATGTTCTCATTTGGTGTCATGTAATTCGAAGCTGACGGCTGAGCAGCTGATGTCCCTTTAGGAAACTCTGGAATAGTACATCATGCCAGTCACTATCACTAGCATGATGGGAATTTGTTTATTGTCAAGAGACAGATTAGCAGGTGTATGCTTGTTTCAAAAAGAAATGTGACTTTGAACCAGGACCCGAGTTTTCTGTTGTTCATGCACCTGAGTCGTTTGTATGGGACTTTTGAGGAGGTGAAGGGATTTGTAGCTTCTGGTGAGTTTAGGAAGATTGATAAAAAATGGTATTTCAAGGAGAGAGGAAAGAATAAGGAAGAAATTAATTCACACAGAGGCTCTCAACCTGAGAAATCCTCAATCTGAAATATTTTGAGCACCAACATGGCAGGACAAGTAGAAAAATCCAGTTGTAGGTGGGACTTTTCTTATGGGATGTAGCTACTGGTAGATTACCCCAGCTCTGGTGGATGACCCACACCCATGAACAGACAGGCAGCACTAATTGAACTCAGTGAATTATATACACACGCACACACACACACACACACACACACACACACATGACGTGAAATTGAGAAGGTAATTTTCTGGAAATGGGAAAATGGAAATTGTATATTTAGTCATTGGGGGTGATTATGTGGTACATATGATCAAGATACACTTAATACGTATATGAAATTTTCAAATAATAAATATCAGTAAAATATTTTGTGAGGAAAAGAGTCCATATAAATACACCCCCCCCACACACACACACAAAGAGAGAGAGAGAGGGAGAGAGAGAGAGCCATTGTAAATGGATGACATTGTCCTGCATAAAGGGACTTTGTCAATAGTATATATCTTTATAGAGCACAGTGCCCTCCCACACTCCCAACATTACTACGTTAATTGTACTACCTTGTAGACTGTGATAAAATAACATCATATACATGTAGGCATTGCATAGCAGCTAAACCAGAGTATTTAGAAATTGTATCTTTTAAAACATTAAAAGTATGCTGACTAACATAGAATTAGTGTGCATATTTTGAGGCACAATCTGATGTTTCAATGCATAGGTACAATACATATTGACCAGATTAAGGAAATGGGTTTCTATCCCTTGTCATCCTGTTGTACTTGGAGTGCTTGGGTGATTCCCTTGTAGTTATTCAAAACGACTTAATTGGTTACTATACACTATAATATATAGAGCATATTACTTTAGTCTACCTGTGCTTGGGTGCCTGTTATCTAATTTCCCAGTGTCTTCCCCATATCTTACCTTCCCCAGGCTTTAGTATGCACTACTCCACATTCAACTACTTTAGAATACATTTTTTTTTTCATTTAACACAATGACTTCCATTTTTATCTGTTTCCCTGAAAATAATAAGGTATTATTCTTCTTCAGGTTGAGCACTATCCATTCAGACCGTGTCCCATGCTTGCTTCATCCATTCACTCCATTTGCCTATTGTATCTTGAGCTTCTGGGGCCATAGCCATTTTCTTTTTGGCCTGTATTAATGTCTGGAAGTGCTTCCTCTATTTTCTTCTAGTAATTCTGTTGTTCTGGATCTTACAGTTAGATCTTTAATGTGTCTTTGCTTTATTTTTGAGTGTGTGAGAGGTATAGGGGTCAAGTTTTAACCTTCCATTCATGAATATCCTGTTTTTCCAGTACCATTTTCCAAAGAGGTTACCTTTTTTTTTCTAGTGAGATTAAAAAAAATCATAAAAGGAATCTCATTCATAATTGGCACAAAACTGCAAAGGAGCTGGGCATAGTGGTACACATCTCTAATCCCAGCATTTGGGAGGCAGAGGTAGGCAGAGCTCTGTGAGTTTGAGTCCATCCTTGTCTACAGAGTGAGTTTCCAGACAGCTAGGCCAGGGCTATGTAGAGAGACCCTATTTCAAACAAACAAACAATGACAACAACAAGAACAGAAAAAACACCCTTTTCAAAAACAAAACAAAAAAATTACAAAGGAGTAAGTTTAATCAAGAAGTGAAAGACTTTTCAATGAAAATTGTAAAACCCTGATGAAAGAAATTAAGGTAGACCTCACCAAATGGAGATGACTGTGATGTTGACAGGCAGAAGGAACTGATGTCACTATGCTCACACTACCCTAGTTACTTACAGGCTCAATGCAGATTATTGTTCAGTCTACCAACATACCAATGCTATTCTTCACAAAACTAGTGAAAAATGTCCTGAAATTCCTTTGGAAGTACAGAAGCCTCCAAACAGACACAATACACTTGAACTAAACCAAACCAAAGCAGTATAAAGAAACAAACAAAAACCCCAAAGCTGGAAGTAATCACATCAACTGACTCCGAAATGTAATACAAGGCTCCAGAAACCAAAACATCACGGTATTGGCATAAAAACAGACACATAGACTAGTGGAACAGAATACAGAGCCTAGAAATAACTTAATACATTTGTAGCCAACCCATTATTGACCAGATTCACCTGGGAAATTGAAATTTGGGATCGCTAAAATGACCTTTGGTGACCTCACATTTAAAGCATTTCTTTATTTTTGTGTGACAAAAGTGTACACATTCAAGAGCATGCTGAGGCCAGAAGTTGACACTGGAAGTCTTTCTCCTTCACTTTCCACTTTCTTTTTTATGGTCTTTCCCTGAACATGAGCTCACCGATTTGGCTAGACTGGTCAAGCAGCCTTAGGTATCAGCATGGCTTTGCCTCACAACATAGGACCACAGATGTGAGCTGCTACACCTGACCCCTCGGTGTTTCCTGGGGATCCAAACACAGATCCTTATGCTCACGGGGCTAAGCTCTTTACTCCCAGACCTGCCTGGTGGCTTTTAAACAGGAAGATAAATATCTCTCTTATAAAATGTACCTAGTATTGGACTATGGGTTTTATTCTTCAAGTGACTCTTACTCGTGATTAATCAGAGGTGAGTTCTGCACACAAATGAACTTGCTAAGACACCTGGTTTTCTGCTAAGTTGCAAAGAGCTTATTTCAGACCTGCTTCTGTTATTGCATTTTGTGGACTCCAATACTGCTAGGAGTCACAGCTGCCCCCTAGGCAGGCCTGGAGCCTCCTCCTCCGCTTTTCTTTCTGTTGCACAGATGCCCCACTCACTGAGAATTTCCACAGGCCCCCAACATCATTGCTCCTCTCAAAGCAGGTGGGCTCCAGTCCCTCCTCCAGACAGCTCCTGATGGAGGCCAGGCCACTGACACCTGCTCCGATGATGGCCACTCTCTTCTTCATGGGTGCCTGTGGAGAGGTGCAGAGATCATTTCTGAGACCTTACTTTGCTGTTTACTTTTGGCTTAATGAGAAATTTTGCTTTGGCACGCATGATAGCATTTCCAAAGTACTCCAGAACTCCTGTTAGTCATCAAAGCACTTCCTGATTCTTCGCAAAAAAAGCAGCCTAACAGTCACCAGGAACCTTGAGATTTGTGATGTGAATCTCTAGCATTGCCTGTGGTAAACTTACATTTAAAGTGTTTATTGTGTGTGTGTATGGGGGGGGGGCAGGTACGTCCACACAAATGCACAAGCATGTGAAGGCAAAATGTATTAAGCATTTTGTTTTCAGTCAGCTCCCTAAATTAAGAGATTCATAGCTAAACTATATGAACATTCACTCACACCACACATTCACAGGTATGTTCTAGGCACACACATTTTGACACAAATGTTTACATGTGGATAAAACAAACTAAGATGTATGCATAGATGTATGATGGCCTCTCTGTGAGAGAGGGTTGATTTCATGACCATCAGCAGATGCTCATGTTCCTTCTATGAAAGCCAGGGATTTTGGTCTAGCTTATGGAATCCTCCTGCATCCTTCAATTCATCTCTGGATTATTTGTAATTTATGAATAGACATAAGGAAAGCCTGTATATCTATTTTACTTGACATAAGACTGAGAACACCCAGACCTCAATAAGTCAGATAGTCAGTCCTTTTCCTTCCTTAACAAAAGTTAGGTCATTGCCTTACAACATCTTCTCCTTATCATTCATTCTCAACTCTGTTCTCTTCCAAGAACACTATGCTTCCTAATCTTTTCCTATCTGTAGGTTCTACCACCACTTCTCTATTTTTCTTTTTAGGTAAAATTCCACAGCTCTGCAAACAAACAAAATACTTTTTTTGTATGATTAGATGATTAGAATCATGTTCTAGGATATCCAGGAAAAATAAAACCCAAACCACTTCCCAAATGGCATGCCATGTTCATTCTGTACACAGTGAATGCAAAGCCATGCAACTCCACTCACCCCCACCCTCCTCCATACTCCTCTTTCATCCACCTCCCAGATGCTCCCACCCAAGTCCTTTGCAATAGCTTTCTTTTCCCACCTTTTCCTTGTCTTCCTTTCTTCTGTGTGTCTAAGCTCTAAGTCTTCTGCAACATCTGAAAGAGATGTGGGGCACCTGATGGCAAGGGAGGTTGTTATTGGAATAGGAAGGAGGAGCTTCTCTTAAAGGGATAATCCTTGGTCTAGCAGTAAGTGAACACACACTCCAGCTCCTGTAATGTGCAGGTCTCTGGGGTCACCTTTCTAGTCACCCAGACCTGTTTTCCTGTTAGCTGTTAGCAGCAGTTAGCAATCCCCAGAGTCGCCTGGGAGGTGGCAATTTCTCCAAGCCTCTATGGTTTTTGAGTCTATTTCCTTATGTGTAATCACAAAGCTTATCTTATTTTTCTTATTTGTAGGTCTTTTGGAGTAGCCTATAATAATTTTCCAAGTTTTATAGAAAACTCCAATTAATCACAATTGGAAATAGGCAGGCCAACATCAAAGATAGCTTTTCTATGCTACGAAAAAGTAATACTTAGCTTGCTAGTCACAGATATAGCAAGTCAGTCAGAGCTTAGGTCATGGACTTTAGAAAGATTGTATTATTCAAAGGAATCTCGTTGAGGGTGTTGTGGGTCTTCTTCGAGAACTTCCTAGCATCTTCAAAGTTAAAATCTGCAATTGTATTCCATAGGGAGGAGTTTATAAGTGAAAGTGCCTCTTGCTATTGCAATTTACCTTCCTAATGGACCTCTAGTAGGAAGAGGTGTCCATTGTACTCTACCTGCTCAGAAGGGAAGAGACTTCCAAGCAGGCAAAGACCTGCCAGGAGACAGTGCCCATTCTTCAAGACCATCACTGAGTTGTCACCTTCACCAGTAAGTGAAGTCTGCCTACTTACAAATGTAGGTCTCAGTATCTGAAACTGCCTACCACTTGGCCAAAATGGGATAGAGACATATGTTCAGAGCCATGGGAGAGTGTTCTATTAAGGAGCCAATAAGTCAACATAGTCAAGCTCAACTCTTCAGAAGGCAGTGAAGAATAAGCTAGCATTCAAGTGTACTTCCCACTTTCTCTTCCATGAGGTTCAGTGTGGTTGGTTTTATGTTTAGGCCTTTGATTCACCTGAACTTGAGTATTGTGCATGGCAATAGATATGGATCTATTTTTATTCTTCTATGTATTGGTATCAAGTTATGCCAGCTCCATTTGCTGAATATGCTTTCTTTTTTCCATTGTATATTTTTAGCTTCTTTGTCAAACATCAACTATTCGTAAGTGTGTAGCTTTATATCTGGGTCTTCAATTCAATTGCATTGGTCCTCCTGTCTGTTTTTATTACTGTAGCTCTACATTAGAGTTTGAAGTCTGGGATTGTGATGCCTCCAGAAGTTCTTTTGTTGTACAGGATTATTGGCTGTCCTGGGTTTTTTTGTTTTTCCATATGAAGTTGAGCATTGTTCTTTTGAGGTCTGTGAATAATTTTTCTAGGATTTTGATGAACATTGAATTGAAGGAGACCACTTCCCAAATATAACCCCAGTAGCACAGACACTGAGAGAAACAATTAATAAATGGGACCTCCTGAAACCGAGAAGCTTCTGTAAAGCAAAGGAAATGGTCATTAAGACAAAATGGTAGTCTACAGAATGGGGAAAGATCTTCACCAACCCCACATCAGACAGAGGACTGATCTCCAAAATATACAAAGAACACAAGAAATTTGTCATCAAAGAATCCAATAAAAAAATGGGGTACAGACATAAACAGAGAAGTCTCAACAGACAAATCTCAAAGGGCTGAAAGACACTTAAGAAATGCTCAACATTCATAGCCATCAGAGAAATGCAAATCAGTGCAACTCTGAGATTCCATCTTACACCTGTCAGAATGGCCAAGATCAAAAACAATGATGACAGCTTATGTTGGAGATAATGTGGAGTAAGAGGAACACTCCTTCATTGCTGGTGGGAGTACAAAGTGGTACAGCTGCTTTGGAAATCAGTATGACTATTTATCAGAAAATTAAGAAACAATCTACTTCAAGACCCAGCAATGCCACTGTTGAGAATGTAACCAAAAGATGCTCAATCATACCTGAAGTGGATGTGCTGAACTATGTTCCTAGCAGCATTATTTGTAATAGCCAGTGTTGACAGAGGGTTCTATTCTACCCTATCCCACAGTCATTCAGTCCCAAAAAAACACACAGAGGTCTACATTAATTATAAACTGGTTGGCCTATTAGTTCAGGCCTCTTATTAACTCTTACATTCTACATTAAGCCATAATTCTTGTCTGTGATAGCCACGTGGCTTGGTACCTTTTATCAGTTAGGCATTCTCATCTTGCTTCCTCTGCATTTGGGTTACACCTGCAGACTGAGCCTTTTCTCTTCCCAGAATTCTCCTGTTCTGGTTGCCCCACCCATACTTCCTGCTTGGCCACTGGCCAGTCAGTATTTTATTAAAATTCAAGTAACAAATCTTCACAGGGTGTAAGACCATTGTCCCACAGCAAGCCAGAACCTGGAAACAACTTAGATGCCCCTCAACTGAAGAATAGTTAAAGAAAATTGATGTAGGTAGGTTTTATGTCTATGTGTTACTTTCATTGGTCAAATAAAGAGACTGCCTTGACCTTTGATAGGACAGCAGCTTAGATAGGCAGAGTAGACAGAACAGAATGCTGGGAGAAAGAAGCAGAGTCAGGCAGATGCCATGGAGCCAGCCGCCAGGTCAGACATGCTGAATCTTTCCCGGTAAGCCATGACCCCATGGTGATACACAGATTATTAGATATGGGTTAAACAAATATGTAAGAGTTAGCCAATAGAGGCTAGAGCTAATGGGCCAGGCAGTGTTTAAATGTATACAATTTGTGTGTTGTTATTTCGGGGCATAAGCTAGCCATGTGTCCGGGAGCTGGCGGCAGGAACGCAGCCCGCTGTTTCTTCTACAGAAAATGTGGTACATTTACACAAGGAGTACTACAACAGCAATAAATAAAATAAATGACCTCTTGAAATTTGCAGGCAAACAAATGGACCTAGAAAAAAACCAATATTGAATGAGGTAACCCAAATCCAGAAAGACAAATATAATATGTATTCACTCATAAGTATGTTTTAGACATAAAGCAAAGAAAAACCAGCCTACATGCCACAACTCCAGAGAACCTAGACAACAGTGAGGACCATAAGGGAGACATACATGACTCTACCTAGGAAGGAGAAAAAAACAAGATCGCCTGAGTAAATTGGGAGCTTGGTGGTCACTGGAGAGAGTAAAAGAGGTGAGGGAAGTTGAGAAAAATGTATAGCTCAGAAAATGTGATAGGAAAAATGTTGTGCTAATAACAACAATTAAAATGTGTATATTGTAAACAGAAAAGTAAAAATAAGCTAGCACTTAAAACCATTTATGAAACTTGGTTAGTTATCTAACTTCAACTGAAGCCTTTTGAAAAAGTTATTTTTTAAGCCTTATTTTCTGTAAGTAATCTAATGCATATATCTTTAATTGTCATTTTATTCAAGTATTTATAATTCTGCAAAATTGAGACTTAGGTTGTTGAATATGTATTTTCCAAAAGAGTCATCCCAGTGTGAGCATGGTCACAAAACACCTCACAGTCTAGAATAGGTGGAAACAATTGAAAGTGACCTTGTATAATGACAGGTATGGGTAGAAAGACAGACGTATGGGCAGTGTCAGGTCATGTTTTAAAGTAACTGCAGAATAATGACCATTTGTCAGCGTACTTGAGTTTTAAAGAAGCACTGGCTTCGAAAAGGAGGTGAATTAGGTAGAGATACAAATATCTTATATCATTTGACACGGCTTGTCACATGTGTTTAAATAACCTCTGAACGGCACAACACACTGTGCTTGTGACTGGGGCATGCTCGCTGTGCATGTCACTCTTGCCTACTTTCCCTAATAACTGCACTCCCCTTATTCATATAATCCTTCCTCCCTCTTTTTGGCTGGACTACTTTACCTCTATGATGGCAGTGTGGTCACCAATCTGATGATAGGAAAAGGCTATTTCAGGCCTGGTCTCCACTACTGTTAGTAGTCTTAGCTGGGGGATGGGGTGGGGGTGGGACATCCTTGTAGATTTCTGAGAATTTCCCTGATGGCTCTCTCTATCAAGATCTCTCTTCCATTGCTCTCCCACTCCATCCCTTCCACAACTGCACCAACCCATTCCCTCATGTTTTCATCCCTTATCCCCCCTTTTACTGACCCTACCCCAAGTTTATCCAGGAAATCACATCTATTTCCCCTTCTCAGGCCAGTCCATGTGTCCCTCTTAGGGTCCTCCTTACTACTTAGCTTCTCTGGACCTGTGGATTGTGGTCTGGCTATCCTTTATTTCACATCTAGTATCCACTTATGAGTGACTACATACCGTGTTTGTCTTCTGGGTCTGGGTTACCTCACTCAAGATGACATTTTCTAGTTCTATCAGTTTGCCTGCAGATTTCATGATGTCATTGTTTTTTACAGCTAAGTAATACTCCATTGTATAAAGGTACCACACTTTATTTATCTATCCTTCTGTTGAGGGGCGTCTATATTGTTTCCAGGTTCTGCCAAACCACACTCTTATGTTTTAAATTTTATACTAGAATTAGAAGACAATGGTCCACTGTTCTATTATTACAGTGCCCTTTTTCCTACATATTCATGTGTTACCAGTGTAATTTCATATCATTTCTGAGTTTTTTATTTCAACTGGAAAGTTCTCATTGCATTTTAAAACATAAGGTAGGTCTAGTGATAAGCTAGTAGTATTTCCTTTTTCATGTAGTGTTTTATTATCCTGAAAAAATTTCCCCTTTCAGCACTTAGAAAAGTGATGCCCTTCAGCCTCTGCTGATAAATCTACTGAAATCCTTGTGGTGGTTTCATTGCAAATGATGAGTCTCTTTATGTTATTGATGTTTTCAAAACCATGTGTCTGCCTTTGGCAAATGTTTATTGTTTGAGAAATGAAGGCCGGGCGATGGTGGTGCATGCCTTTAATCCCAGCACTCGGGAGGCAGAGGCAGGCAGATCTCTGGGAGTTCGAGGCCAGCCTGGTCTACAAGAGCTAGTTCCAGGACAGGCACCAAAGTTACAGAGAAACCCTGTCTCGAAAAACCAAAAAAAAAAAAAAATCTTTTGCTGGGTGGTGGTGGCGCACGCCTTTAATCCCAGCACTCGGGAGGCAGAGGCAGGAGGATCTCTGTGAGTTCAAGACGGGCACCAAAGCTACAGAGAAACCCTGTCTCGAAAAAGAGAAATGAATAGATTATTTAATTATTTAAGGTGGTCTATGGGTGCTAAAAAGCTATAATGTGGGTATTACAGCTGTAATAGATGTCTTCGAAAAATCTTAGATAACATGAAAGCAGACACAAGATGCACAAATGGTTATTACATTTTCAATGTCATAATAAGCAATTATTAAAAAATTCTTTTAAATACGTATGCAAGCAATATAAGCATAGCTATACAATCTAAAATAAACTTCTACTAAGGAAAAAATATGGATGCATGTATACATTAAGTAGTTGGCATGCTTTATCCTGTTGAGCAGGGGATCAATGTGTGAGTGGATGAAAGAGCCAAGATGAAACAACAGTCAAATGAATAAACAGTGTAAAACACAAACAACTTTTTCTCACTGGGAAAAACAGGACAAAATGTTCTAGAACATAGATGATGATATTACGCATTTTGTTCTGGAGCTAACAAGCCAGTGCAAATTTGAACATGTGTTTAAAACAAGGTCAGGCTGTGGTTTGTGATTTTTGGTTGTCGAGTGCATTGTTGAGCAATACTGTGTTGAGAGCTGGATCCAAGCACAGGGCCCGTGGGCTTCCTTCACTCACTATCCTCTGCCAAGGGTTAAGGAGACTTGTTCTCACATTGCAAGTGTAACTCCATCTCACAGTTCCTACCTAAAGCTTCCACAGTTGTTTCTGAGGTGACAGAGAGACTGATGTCACCAGGATGACAGCCATCATCAGAGCCTTCTTAAGCGAGAGCCCAGTGGAATGAAAAAGTTTCCATTGTGATGTAGCAGATTTCTTGTATTAGTTGGACTTGGCATTGGTGGCCAAGATAAACTACTGGGTTACAGACCATATGAGCTGGAACTGGGATTAGGAGCAGGAACATAGTTCAGAGTTTAGCCCAGAGCTCTTGGCTGTTCTGTTCCTACATTCTACACGTGGGGTCTGACAGTGCAGCCAGGAACATTCATTCCATAAGGCTAGCAGGAAGCACAGTTGGAGCTTTTTGAGCTAATGTTAGCTCAAGAGTCACAGCAGACAATTAAATAAGACCTTTACTTTGAATCATATAATTGTTTAGGATTAAATTTTAGGATTAAAATTTTTTTTTTTTTTTTTTTTTTTTTGGTTTTTCGAGACAGGGTTTCTCTGTGGTTTTGGAGCCTGTCCTGGAACTAGCTCTTGTAGACCAGGCTGGTCTCGAACTCACAGAGATCCGCCTGCCTCTGCCTCCCGAGTGCTGGGATTAAAGGCCAAATTAATATCACTAGATACCTTGGGCAGGACAATTTTTCATTTTATTGGCCTATTCTTGGGACATTTTGGATGTTTAACCCTCTTGGAATATAGTTGCTGATAAATGTCAACTATGCCTGCCTAGCATTAGAAAAACAGAAAAAAATTAAGCCCTTGTGTCTACCATTATCAGCTATTCCAATAAAGAAGTTTCAGTATCACTGAGAACTATATACAGGGCAACTATGTTTTTATATTTAGACGAACAACAACAGCAACAACAAAAAGAAGGACCTTAATTGATTTATTCAAATTGTGGCTTACTAGTTCAACACATATTTCAAGAACATGTGTTATGTGTCAAACGCTGAAGGAGGTAGTGAGGACAAAGAGATTTATAAAATCCAGAAAAGACAGACATAAACAATTATTGTCCCTATAACACTTGTGAGCACATGTATGCACACAGACATATTTTTATTTATTAACATAGTAAATAATTGTCTACACTATACCAGGTAATGTTCTAAGAATCACGCATACCTTCAAATACACATATTCAAGTGCGCTCCACATTGTTTTCCCTAGCCCTAACTTTCTGATAACAATATTTTATATTTAAAACGTAAGTCTGAATTATTAGTCCCAACCCTAGGCTGCCATTTAAAAGAGAAAAAATATCATTTATTGACTTATAAGTAGTTTAAAAATTATTTATACAGGCTATCATTTAAAAGATAAAAGACTTTGAAATTACCTTAAAAAGTTCAGAGTTTATGAAAATACTGCATGTTGGAATGGAAATGCTGGGGTAGCTTTTTTTTACTGTGGCCCTCACTGCCGATGAAACAAGTCGACGTGAAGAACAGAGTGCAAGGGTTGAGGAAGTCCTGGTACTTTGTACGTTTGTGAACTGGATTTTCTGGCTTGGCTTCTGAAGGTACTGGAAGATATTCAACTGCTCTTTGATCCTTTCCTTTGAGAACAGAAAGCACCACGGTTAATCATGTAACTCAGCTTCTTCTGATGCTGGAGTTGAAGCTGTGATATTATCTCTAGTTTGCAGTCAAATTATATATATATATATATATATATATATATATATATATATATATTTTCATTTCTGGGACTGACATGGGCTTGAGAGTAGTCCTTACTCTCTTGACATCTGAGTTTTCTGTCTACCCACTATTCATGACTTTGTTGTGGTTAAACCTCATAGACAATCCTAAGAACAGGCAACAGATTCTTGGAGAGTGAAAGAGTCATGTCTTTCATCTTAGATTTTCTTCAGCACCCAGCATGCTGCTCTGCTCATCAGTAGGTTCTCAGACATTCCTTGTTTCATGGTCAGTAATCAGAAAACTAGCTCTATAGAACAGGCACATTTTTAGCAGTTTCTCCTCAATGATGTGCACTTAAATTTAAGAAACTTCAACAAACACCATTGTTCTGTTTCTCATTCTCTTGTTGAGATGAATGATTATAGCATCTTAATTCAGGTGATAACCTACTTTTGGAAGTGACTCAGAGCACAGAGCATTTTGTTTCTATTCGGAGGTTTTATGTATAAACCTGATAATAAATGACAGTCATTGACTAAAAAATGAGAGAGGTGAGCAAAATATATGAAATTTATGCAAGAAACTGGAAGTTACCAGAAAACTTCATCTTAGCTGTTTTATGTGTGGCACCACAGTGATGGATTTTCTATAAACTTCATATAGAAACAAAACTTTCCGTAAGGTGCTTAGTCCTAAACGTGACAGCTTCTTCAGCCACATGAGCCAGGGTTAAGCCCAAGGTATGCTTGAGTGTAGTGTTGTGGTACTTAAGAGCTGGGAGAGAGGACAGTGCAGGAGATGAAATGAAGACTAAGAAAACTCAAGGGGAAATGGTTGAGATGAGACAGATCTGGTTTGAAACTCAATTTTATCTTTTAAATTTTCTTTATTTCCCCCTTCCCTTTTAAAAAGGATTTTTTTAAAGACAGGGATTCTCAGCCTGACAGCAGTGGCACACACCTTTAATCCCAGCACTCGGGAGGCAGAGTCAGGCGGATCTCTGTGAGTTCGAGGCCAGCCTGGTTAATGAAGAGAGAGTTCCAGGACACTAGAGCTCTTACACAGAGGAACTCTATCTGGAAAAACAAAAAAGGAAGAAGAAGAAGAAGAAGAAGAAGAAGAAGAAGAAGAAGAAGAAGAAGAAGAAGAAGAAGCCTATTACCCTCTGCCATGTGGCTCATGGCTTGTTACCTCATTTTTCTACACAACCTACTTCCTCTGCACGTGCTGGCATCTCCTCTGACTCTGCCCTTCTTCATCCTAGCATCCTTAGTTTGGCTGTTCCACCTATACTTCTTGCGTAGCTATCAACCAGTCAGCTTTTTATTAAACCATTTCAAGAAATAAATCTTTATAGTGTATAAAAGGATTATTCCACAGCAATTTACACTGTGATTCATAACAGTAACAAAATTACAGTTATGGAATAGTGCTGAGAATAATTTTATAGTTTGGGGTCACTGTGGTATGAGGCCACTGTTTGTTCCTGGCTGCCCAGACCATGAAATAATCATTCAGAAACTATATTATTTGCAATACTGTATGACCAATAACTTAAGCATATTTCTAGCTTGCTCTTATACCTTAACCTAACCCATCTCCATTAATCTGTACATCACCATGTGGCCGTGGCCTACCGGCAAGGTTCCAACACATCTGTCTCTGGTGGTGGGCTACATGGCTTCTCTTTGACTCTGGCTTCGTTCTCCCACAATTCAGTTTAGTTTTCTCCACCTACCTCAATTCTGCCCTGCCAGGCCCAACACAGATTCTTTATTAACCAATGGTATCCACAGCATACAAAGGGGAATCCCACGTCAGGTCACCACAACATAAGGAACTGTATTAAAGGGTCGCACCATGAGGAAGGTTGAGAATCACTGGTGTAGAGTATCAAAGCAAAAACTCTCTCCAATATATGGTTCCTGATTTTTGCCTTACATGTGTGAGTAATAGACCCTGTGCTGATTTTCCACTGGAAATCTAGAATGTAATATTCTGCTGCTTTTTATCATCCAACCATCTGACTGGTGAAGATACCAGGCCCAGTAAAAATAATAACTTTGCTAAATGTAAAATTGGTGGTGTAATGGCTTAGTGGACTGAAGTTGAAGATTTAACTCTATTACCTAGATATAGATCATGTGCAAGTCACGTCAGTTGGATAGGTGATTTGTTGGGGGATATCTAATTACACTGTGAGCCCCAAGATTGTGTTAATTAAATAAAAAAAAAACATGAGGTCAGGAGGCAGAGCCAATGACCAGTTGACAGGAAATAGCCATATAGGGTAAGAGTGAATTAGGACAATAGTTACGGAAAGGCACAGGAAGTAGAAGGGAGGGACAGAGAGTTTGACAGTTCCTTTTGGATTGGAACTGCGGTAAAAGATCTCTCTTTTTGAGATGCCAGTTAAGGAAGAAGGTCAGCTACTTGCTCCTCAACCTCTTTGAGCTAGCAGGTTTTTACTCCAGCCTCTGACTCTTGAGTCTTTATTGGTAAAACAATAAGATATAAATTTAGATTAAAAATAACAGTGTCTGACTTCCAACTGATTCCAATGTGCCTTCTGTTGCTGCCAGCAGGGTAAAACACAATACGGCACAGAGAAATTTTAAAACCATGACCTAAACCTATTTAGTAAGTATATAGGAAGTGAAAATAAAAGAATAAATGCCAAGTAACAGATAGAGAGCAAACATCATCAAATCGGGTGTTTAGAGCAAGTAGGAGAGATGGCAGAATCATCAAATCAGTTTCTTAATGGAGACAGACTGGGCAGATTAAGGAGGTCAGCTGGAGTTCTCAACTGAGCTTCCCTTCCATGGAGGGAGCTTCCCATGAGTGAACTTCTAGCTTTCTGTTCCTTCTGTAGGCATTTTTATAGCATGGGATAAATAGTAGTAACCCCCAATAGTTGTGGTGTTTTCTCTAACTGTCTCCTAACGTGCAGACTTTTACACTTAAACTATTTTTTCTCTCTTCTTTTTCTATTCTGTCAAACATTAGAGCAGCCAGCCTGTCACTGGACAAAAAAGTCTTGAGAAACACCTGACATAATAAACACGTAGAGTTCTTGAGTTAGTTTGAATGTAATTGGCCCCCATAAGCTCATAATAGTGGCATTATTAGTTGCTGTAGCTTTGTTTGAGTGGGTATGGCCTTGTTAGAGGAAGTGTGTCACTGTGGGGGTGGACTTCGAGGTTTCTTATGCTCAGGATAGGGTCTCAGCCAACTTCCTGTTGCCTACAAAGTATAGGACTCTCAGCTACTTCTCCAGCACCATGTCAGCCAGCACGCCACCATACTATCACCATGATGATAAGGGACTAAACCTCTGAAACTGTAAGCAAGCCACCTCAATTAAATGTTTCCCTTTAGAAGAGTTGTGGTGGTCATGGTGTTTCTTCACAGCAGTAGAAACCCTAACAGAGACAGGTCTGAAGTCTTGAGGCAACTCCCCTGCTAGAGGCAGCTTCTCAGTGAGTTAAAAGAGCATGACAGTTGACTGAAATTATGTGTATTAGGCCAAGCAAGGGTTCCAGTTCCTTAAATTTTGTGACAGGGAAATGGTGGAACTGTGGCCTTTACTGTAATGGTGGCAGAGATGAAAGATAAAGGATCTGAATAGAAGAGATGGAAAGGGAACAAGCCCCAGCAACGTGAAAGGTAAGGAGTGGTGGAAATGAAGTCATTATGATCTGAGTTGTATTCCACCATAATTTCTGTCTTTGATGATCTCCTAATAACCCCCAGTAGCACAAAATGTAGCTGTGTTTACAGATAGGGTCTTTCAAGAGTTAATTATGGTTAAATGATGTCATTAGAATATGGCCAGTCCTGGACAGGTCTGTATGAGAAAGAAGATTAGAAGGATAGGAACCACCTAGAAGTCAAGGACAGAAGAAACTAGATGCAGATTGATCCTAGACTCTTACCTCAGGAGTATGAAAAAACAAATGTCTGGTGTTTGAGCAGGATTACTTGAAGATGTAATTCTTTTTGTTGACCCTGCCTGTGGTGTGATATGGGCATGAGGCTGAAGTGTTAAGGTCGGGGCTGAAGGTTATTAGCAAGGCCAGCAAAGCCCACAATATAAAGGGAGATAACTTGAAACAACTTTGTAGTGTTGCAAAAAAAAAAAAAAAAAGTTTAATAGTGTCAGTAGCAATTAAAGGTCACTTTACAGTTTACTGCGTAGATTATCTTTGCAACAAAAAAACTGTCACCCAAGATAATAAATGAGACATTTCAAACTATAAAATACAATCCCTGATCTCAAGGTGAAGAATATAGGCCTATTAAGAAGTAAATGTGCTCTAAAGCATGACAGGTTTATCTGCTCACACAATGCTGTCTTCTTCTTGTGACTTTTCCTTAGTTTAATATGACAATCAAATTACATGGGTAGAAAGTTCCCAAGGACAGCACAGAACCTAGCATATGACATTTGCTCCACAACTAGGCAACTCTGGATAAGATATACCATGAAAATCTTCCTCCCAGCAGGGTGGTGGGTATATTAACTGGATCCCCTAAGTCAGAGGTTATCAACCTGTGGGTCATGATCCCTTTGGGTTTGCATATCAGATATCCTGCATATCAACTATTTGCACTATTATTCATAACATGAGCAAAATTACAGTCATGAAGTTGTTACACAACAATTTTCTGGTTAGGGGTCGCCACAATGCAAAGAACTGAATTGAAGGATCAATTGAGGTCAAGAACCACTGCCTTAAGCAAACAATCAGAGTCATCTCCACCCTTATGCAGGAAAAACCTATAACCTATAAGCCTTCCATTGT